CAGTAGCCTACGTTTGTGTGTAAAGGTTAGAGAGTTTACAGTACATTTAGTACATTTATTTCAAATTTTTATTCATCACTAACTTCACGCTTCATGTTTTTTAGAGTGGACTTATTTACATTAGGAAACGTGTCTCTGTGTTTCTTTACACTTTGGAGCAAACACTGCTTCTGCTCTTCGTCGTTTGTCAGGATTTTATTGACCTCCTGGGTAAGCTTAACTCCTCGCTCCGCAATGTCATTGACGACGTGGAGTTTGCCCACTATTTTGCAGCACTGAAAGGTGCAGATTGAATTAGATACTGTGGGTACAGAGAAAGCAAATTTTCACAAATTAATGTTTAGGTATTACCTTTTGGTAGTCTGGCAATTCATCCCACTCCTCTGGCTCCTTGTCAAGAAAACTAAGAGGCATGCCGAGTGAATCAAGTGCAACCCGGCTATTTTGTGAGACAAATTCACTTAGCTCCATTTTAGCCACCGCCTTTAAATTTATCGATATTCTTTTCGGTGGATCGGGATTTCCAGGGTTGTCGCGCATAGCTTGAACGATTCTTTTCTTCTCCTCGGCGCTGAGCCTCGAATCAAAAATTGAGAGACCAACCAAATCCTCCGAAAGGTACCATAAGTGACCTGTAATATTTTTAAGAAAAAAAGCTTTAATAATTGACCTAGGCCCTAGGCCTAGGGGAGGGTGCTTAAAGGGATATCTCGAGAAATACCCTAATTTATTTTTTACTCTTACCAGTGAATTTTTTAAGGGATACTTCACACAGTGGTTTAAGCCAAACACTCTTGTTAGCGGTAAGACCTTTCAGAAACTGTAAGTCATTGACAGCCGCCTTACTTGCCGATGGAGCCATATACCATTGTGGAAGGTAATGCCGGACAAGAAATATACACAGAGTGCGTAGATTTTTCTGGTATTGGGCGGACTGCAAAGGGAACTGGCTCCGCAAGAGATACATCAAAAGAGTGTAGTGGGCCCTTGCCATCCACCTGGTATCATTAGTGCCCCCTGGCTGACAGAGCTTTGCGCCCTCTGGAAGTTTTACACCCAGAAACAACAGAGCAGTAACTAGCAAATTCTTGTAATCGCTCCGAGGCTGAAAAACCTAAAAATAAAAATAAGCATGAGATTTTTTTTCTTCTGTTAAAAACAGCTAAATTCGAGAAAATGTGACTTGCCTGGAGCTGGGATTGGTAAAAGACAATTAATTCGTCGAGGTCAGCACGAAGAACTCGCATGACTTCCCTATCGTCGGTTCCTAGTTGACACTCAGTGAGGTCGAAGGTGTCCCACCTATCTTTAAAAGTCTTACACAGACTAATAGTTGGAGTATTATCTTCCCCTAGACTCGCAGTGTAAACCGCCTTCAGCACAATTTCGAAAATGTGGTGGCGACAAGCCAGGTGCAGAGCATTTATGCCTAGGTCACCTTCCAGGCGAGCACAGACACCACTGTGCCTCCCAGAGTTAGTGGATGTTGTATCGAAGCCAAACGCTACTACCCTATAACAAAAAATAAAAATAAGAAATAAATCGTGATTTTTATTTGCACCGATATTTTTGTAGTATAAATTTTACGTACCTTGCCTTTAAGGCCCATTCTGATAGTAAATTTGTAATGGCTTGAAACTCTTGCTCAGCATTACCTCGTTCTAGTTTTGGGGCGCCAAGGAGGTGTTCCTTAGCGGCTTCGTCAATGTCCACCACAAGGACTGGCAGCCTATCCACTTTAACCTTAGATGCTATGTCCTCCATAATTTTTCCATCCCAGTGAAGGCTTAAGCGACACTCTGTTTCGGCCATTTCATTTTTCAAATTCGCAACAAGACTCTTCCGTTCTTCAATTCTGTGTCTTCTGATAGACGAGCGACTACATGCGTATTCACTGATGTCATTCCCTGTTTTGGCTAAAACAGCCGAGACGACGTGGACGACCTTGCCGTGACTGAGTTTCGCCCAGTCAAAAGTCGAACCTAATTCCCCATCGGTAAGTCGCTTTGGACGCTTTTTCTTCGGTTTTGTCCTCACTATAAAATCTTCATCAGCATCTGAAACTGAGGCGGGATCGTCGGGATCGTCGCAAGCCATTTCTTCGGAGGGAACGGGAGTCGCTGTGGAGGTAGACGGCATGCACACAGATTCTGGAGTAGACACTTTTTGCTTGTAGAGGGCAGCAGCACGCTGGCGCCTAAGAAACCTCGCCTCTTTCGCCAATAACTTACTGTCCACACCGGCCATATAGCCAATGCGTCCTAGGAAGAAGAAGAAATCATGCAGAAAGGACAGAGAAGAAACAAACCAAAACCATCGGAAATCTTTAAAGCACCGAAAAGAGCATTCAGCAGAAAAACGTGCACACTTACCCGGCAGGAGTTGTTTCTTGTAAAATTCCAAATCCTCCTGTAGTACAGGGTTTCCATTTATAAGCAAGTCTTTTTTCACTACTATGAAAAGCTTTGCTATATCACTCAAAAAATTCTCTTCCCTTTTTTCCTGTGTTTTCATTTGTGCAGGCTTTAGCTTTCGGCCCCTAAGTTTATTCAAAACCCTATACCGCTCGTACAAAGTGTCAAGCTTTTTCACTATATTAGTCTTGTCCTGGATAGGCAGTCTTGCTCTTCCGTAGATTTCCTCAATTTGGCTATACACAGCGCACCCAGAGTCGTACTTGGTTTTTCCCAAACGGCGATGCTCGTAAAGGTAAACACAGAGAACCTCTCGGGCTGTCGGAAGTTTGTGCTGTTGTTCTAGAACACTTCTCTCTTGCAAGCCCAAGTAGTGGATAACGGGCGCGGGCCGCGACCTCGACGATTTAATCCTCACATAAGAACCCATGACGATTTGATCCACACACGATCAAACACGAATGCACAATAACAAACTGCAGCGAAGCGTCGGCGTTGAGGTTATGCGGCACTGTTTGGAAGCGGCGCGCTCGACAGGTTACGACACGACGAACCGACGGCCGGCGTGACAGAAGGCACTGGCTTGGGCGCGCGGGTGGAGGAGGGGGG